GCCATCTCGGGCGTCATGTTCATCTTCGCCGGCTTCTTCATGGACGCCAACACGCTCGTCTCGGGGTGGCAGTGGATGTACTGGCTCTGCCCGCTCCACTACACGGTCGAGGCGATCATTGTCACGCAGTTCCACGGCGACGTCCGCCTCGTGCTCGACGGCCTCACCAAGGAACCGATCACGGTCACTGCGTTCGTCACCAAGTTCTTCAACGGCGCGTACGACTACGCCAACCGGTTTGACGACTTGATTGCGCTTCTGGTGATGCTCGCGATCTTCCAAGGCCTCATCTGGCTCTGCCTCTCCAAGGTCTGCCACCTCGAACGGTGATCCCAGCGCGTTAGAAGCGGGCGATCTCGGTTGCATTTGATTTTATACCAATTTCTATACAGTAATACATGAAATGCACAAGAGTATCCATCCATACACTGCTAGCAAGGGTACTAGCACGCATCACGGCATTCTACCGAGCTTTCGTGGACCCATGGTCCTTGTTAGTGGGTCATCTAGTGGACTGGGAAGGATGTATAACATAGACCAAGGCGACGAGACGTTGAGTCGTCGTCCTAAGAGCTATAAGAGCCTAGTCTGCAACGACTAGGTTGTTGTTGTTGTTGAATTGAGTTATATTACATGCAATTATAAAGATATTGTGGACTTCCTAATCCGCTCGTAAGGCTTGGCCGGTGCGTTAGTGGTCGTAATTCGAAATTGTGCGAGTGACCAGGTAGCGTGCACATCAAGGGTCGTCGCGGAGAGCGACCAGCGACGCGTCAAGAGATGGCACCACAGCGCGACGAGCCAAGTGCCGGACGTGCAATCGTGCGATAGTACATGTAGCTGCCCGGATCGCGAGCGCGGCAGCGGGAAGTTGCGTCAGCGTCGTGCGGAAGACACGGCTGTTGCGTTCGAGCCAAGACAATAGCAGACGCAAGCGCGTAAGATCGGCCAGAGAGCACGAACGGACGACTTGTGGGCCGAGTACGGCGCGGCGACGTCGTCGTAGAGAATGCCAGCGACCGACGACGGGAGTTGCATCTGCAAAATGCCCCTCATCGGTGCAAAGGCGCACCAGATCGCTCGGTTGTAAAATGTAATGTATGGGCACCGCACCAAAAGATGGTCGAACGTTTCACGGGCTTGCGCATCGCAGAGAAGGCAGTGTCGAGCATCGTGGCCGAGAAAGTGCAAGCTGGCTCGAACGGCCATGGCTTTCAGCGCGACCCAGTACACGAAGTCACCGTATCGTGGAAGGACGTGAGCTGGCTGCCGTAGAGGTACACATACGGCTGCTCGGCCCGGGTGCTCGTGGAAGGTCTCTGGGACGCCAAGGTGGTGCACTGGAAGCACACGCCAGTCAAATTGCGGTCGTTGTCGGAAGCCGGTCAGTCGGACGTCCATAGTCGCCGCGAGGACGACATGTGGTCCGAACTTGACGAGCGATCGGCAGGCGGGATAAGCAGGAAGCATTGAACGAGAGCGGTCGTGAGCAGCCGGATCCAACGGCGGGTTGGCTGCAGCCCTGGAAATAGTCCTGGTAGATGCTCTTCGAGTTCGGCGACCGTGTGTCCAAGGGCTTGGAAGCTGTCTACGTGCGTGTAACCTTGAGCGTCGAGCGTGATCTTTCGCCACTTGAGCTTGCTGGACGCGGGAAGATGCGCGTTGTGCCAGAGTGGAAGACGATTTGAAACGAGCGGAGCTGGGCGAGGCGAGCCATGCATGGTGTAGACGTGCGAGAACCATTCGATGAGAGCTGCAACGACTAGGTTGTGGATCGAGCCATTGCATCGCTGGCTGCGCCTTCGCTGACGAATGTGATTGGTGCGTCGAATGTGCCAGGTCGGCAGTGGATTGGTTGATTGCTTTTATCGTAGCGAATCACGGCGCATGCTCTCAGCACGGAACTGGATTGGCCCAAAAACTGCTCGTGAAGGGATATGATTGGGCATACGTGGAGATTGGCAGCGAATCCTGGCCCCGAACGCATGGAATGCCGCAGCGAATCGCAGGCCGCCGTTTGTGGAACCAGCGAAACGACCAAGATCCCAAGTTCAGCAAATATTTTGTATCGCCTTCCACTATCGTGATGGGCAACATTGCGCCGACGGCAGTGTGCAGCACGAGCACGGACGACCTGCGCCATGACGCTGCCTGCGCCAACGATCGGACCGCCAGCGGCGAGGACGCGCCTCCGGGGCGACGCAAGCGGCCGCGGGTGCTCGTGGCCCCGCAGCCGGTCAGCGTCGACCCGCCGGTGGTAGCAGCAACGTCGGAAACGAACGCTTACGACCAAGTGTGCCACGAGTTCAGCCTCGCGTTTCAATCAACAGGTGCATCTCGCGCGACGACGACGACCAGCGCGACTGAGATGGCGTGGAAGGCTGCCGCTGGCGATGACGACGACGACGACGATCGCGACAGTACAACGTGCTCGTCCGAGTGTTCACAGGACACGGTGCTGTGTGACGACGACGAGACGACGTTCGCCTGTACGTACAGAAAGCGCGCGCCGTTCTCTGAGGACAGGCCTTTCGCCCTGCGTGCGCGATCGCAGTTTATAGTCTCCGACTACTTGTGTCCGTGCCGCCGCTGCCCATGGTACGATGCGATTGCACGCCACGTCATGACGAGCAGTCACCTCTCGTCGCGGGCCAAGCGACACGTGACGCGCATCCTGCAAGCGTACTCGACGTACAACGAGGCAGCGGGGTTTCGCAGCGACATGCTTCGGGTCGTCGAAGCCTGTTGGACGCAGTGCGACGGCCTCGAGAACGAGGCCTTCGAAGCCTTTGTCGAGAGCTACGAGAGCGTGTACGCCAACGAGTGGCTTTGATGCGCCTCGAGATATTTAACCTTGTAAGAATGATGTCGCGGACGGTCCTGTATGCAAACACAGAACCGAGAGGTGGCGTGAACGCTGATGGTAGTATTACATCATTGGCACGCTTGGATTTATAAGAGCAAGAGAGACACACACTAGTCGTCTACGCGGCCAAGGCGGCGACCATGGCGACGTGGGTTTCGTACGCGATCTGCGCTTCGACGCGTTCGACGCTGCCCTGGGCGGCCTGGTCCATCAGTTGCTTGTACTTGGTGACACCGGCCTCGGCGGCCGACGCATCAATGTCCTCGACCTTGACCAACTCGACGCAGGCAATGTCCGTGACCGAGTCGGCGTGCGTGAAGGCAAAGCCGCCGGCCGTGAAGAACTTCTTCACGACCTTGTCACGCTCCTCGTGCACGACGATGACGCCGGGCTTGAGCTGCGAGATGATCGGCGTGTGGCGCGCCGTGATACCGTACTCGCCGACGAGGCCCGGGATCTGGACGAGGTCGACCTCCGCCTTCTTGTAGAAGGACTGGTGGGGCGTGTTGAGGTTCAACGTCACCTTGGTGGCACCGGCGGCCGACGCGTTCTCGGCGGCGGCGCGGAGCGCGGTGCTGTGGATGGAGCGGCGGGCGGCGCGGGCGAGCATGCTCGATTCAGTCAATAAGAAACTAGCCCGACCGCGGGACCACCCACGCCACAAACAACCGAACCTGTCACAATTGATACGCACAACGAAAATGGTGTTGGTGTATATTTTAAATAGTGTGCGATGAGGTTTCCCTGGGCTTCGGCAACGGTTGCGTTCTTGCGTTGGTGCTGTACCAAGGCGACGGACACAGCACCACAAGGTGCAGTGACCTCGAAGAAAGTCAAAGCAATGAGAATCGATTGGGTCTGCCAAAATTTAACTCTAATCCTGTACTGCGCGAAACATGATCGAGCTCACTCCAACTTGAAGCCAGCGATATGCCAGCATAGACGACACCACGTGAGACCAAGGTGTAATCTTGCATATGTCCAACATGGGCATGCGACGGACTATCCTGGAAACGACAAACTGGAAACGACAAACGCGACGCTAGCTTTTATGCAGCCAGTCTTCTCACAGGATGTCGTCCAAGAGACCGCACTGGAGGTATATCGCCAGCATCCGTGGCCATTCATCTATTGCATAGCGGTCCTATGCATACCCACGCAGCAATCAAGCTGGCGCTGTGGCCAGGTCGCAAGGGTCCGCCTCACACCATTTGCGGCGATTACGCAGCCAAGAGTGGTACAGTATTTCAGAGAGTCCAAACCTCTTATACTACATAATTTCACTTCCCCACGCAACCACATACAAATACCAAGTCACATGGCATTCCAGGACAATTCAATATAATTCAAGTATTATAATAACGTCGAAGCATACCAGTGCGGATATACTGGATCCTTGTATGCATATCGTTCGAATTTCAAAAACATTTAAACTATGCACACATCACTTGTGATTTGTATGTAGGATAGATGTAGAGAATATAAATATGCCGACGGCACCAGCGACGAAACAGGCACGGCCCACATCGTGCCACGTCATACCCGACGCTCCTTCGAGGCTCAGACAGCGTAGTCGTCCCAAGTAGTACAGACAAGAATACTGTACACACAAAACAAACAGTGTACGAGTGTTCTATCCTGGATTACAGTCAAAAGCAGCGCATGGGTCGGTCCTCGATGAGCCTCGTCATTCCATTGTAACAAGGCTCCGCACGCAACACCAAATTAGCCTCGTCGGCGGCCAGGCGCCGAGACCTTCTGGAGCTTGTTCGGGTTGACTTCGTCCCACTCGACGCCAATGACGCGCGAGACAAAGCCGCCGGTTTCCTTGGGCGCTGCGGCCGCCGCCCGTTCGCGGAGGATGTTGAAGCACGTCTTGCAGCATCGCTTTTCCTCGAGGACGCCAGCGCCCTTGTGGATGCGACCGGGAAAGCCTTGGGGAAACTGCACAAACGGGATGGCGACGCTCGCGTCCTCCGTGCAGCAGAGGCGGCCGCAGTGCGTACAGTTGTGCTTGCGGTGACCAAAGCCAATCTTCTTGAGGCAGAGCATGCACGCCGACCGCTCCTTCTCCGAGATAAACGTCGGCGGGTAGTAAATGTGCGAGAGGAGGTACCGCAGCGACGTGCGCGAGCACTTTTCGAACACGTTCTTGCCGTCCGAGTCTTCCACGTCGAGCTTGGCGCCGGCCTTGACGAGGGCGCCGGCGACCTTGATGAGCCGCATGTTGACGGCCGTGTGCACGATCGTCGCCGTCTCATGGATCTCGTTCGGGTTGGCGCCGTACTTGAGCAGCATGTTGACAATGATTATGTCGTCCTTCTTGTTGGTCAAAATCGCAATCACAAGCGGCGTGAGGCCGCGCGAGTTCTTGACGTTGACCGGCGCGCCGTTCTCAAGCAGCAAGTGCACCATGTGCGGTGTCTTGGTGGCCGCGAAATGCAGCGCCGTGTTGCCCTTGTCGTCCTCGACCGCGAGGAGCTCCGCGGACGGACCCATGCCCGCAAACTGGTCGAGCATCATCTGCACGAGCGGCACGTTTCCGCTCTTGACGGCCAAGTGGAGCGCCGTGTGGCCGTGGTTGGGCTCGCGCTTCAGGAGGCACTCGGGGCCCGACTTGTCGTGGCGGAGGATCGTGAG